AAGTATACACATATAATGGATAGAACGGAAAGGACAATTTATCAAGTGGTTATCACGTCATACAGGGAATGAAAAATGCAATTAATTTGATTAGAAGTACAACATCATCATTTCAACGCCAAGTATTTACCAATATCTGATTACAAAATCAACATAATTAATGAGTGTCTATCAATTATTTCATCACCTAATTATAATTAAACGTTGTTGAAAGTAATTAAAAGTGATGGATTAATCACATGTGCTACAAATTCTAAAATTCTGCCTATCCTGAACTGCATGAAGTCATTAAATATGATAAATGATTAAATATTTTCTTTGACGTTATATTATAACTTTGATTAATTGTTAACCAACCATACTAATTGTAGGGCGATTTCCTAGAATGAACATCCACTGACGTTTCAGAGATTCGCCACTAACTCCCTCATCACAAAATCTATAAAAAACACTTATTTATTTCTTTTTCTTTTTTGATTATAGCTTGATTACACACCGTATTTTTAGTACAAGTATGGAATTCTCAGTATGTGACATTGGTAGGCCGAATTTTGCAGGCCGACCATTGACATCAGGTGTGCGTCGGGAGAGGGTCGAACCCCAGACTATGTTCATGTTCGGCAACAGTCCTAACCGCTGTGTTACCGACGCACTATTAAATTCATTAAATTTTAAACCATATTGAACATAATCGGTTCAGAAATGTATGTATTAACAAACAAACTCCCATATTTGAATACCCGTGAGTCAATAAAAGAGCTATCATCAATTCACTTACCCACTGTATCAGAGGAATTTGCACCATTCAGTGCTTAGAAGATGACCTCTCATTTCTCAAAAATACCGACTTAAATAATAATAATAATTTGTTTTATTCCAAAACAGTACTTGTGATACAGAATGGAATTCTCGGCATTTTACTACAGTTTCGTATCCAGTTAGTACATTATCAATAAATAAAATTCTACATAGATTAAGGGTAATCTCAGTTAGTTTTGACAACAACATATTGGCATGTCGGTAGCAAAGCCAAAATTGAACAGAATATCTGAAGGTGTTTAAAAGTAGATATTAGCATATTTACTGGCGTAAACGGTAACAAAAAGGTCGAGATATACAGAGTGTGAAAGAACGAAGAATGTTTTAAATAGAAAGAAACAAGGCAGCACCTAACAGAAAAAAGAGAGAGAAAAGGAAAAGAGAACACATTTCGTGCAAAAGAACATTATACGAAAGCCAAAAAGAGGAAAACGCAGTTCACTACCGAAGAAAATACTATCTGAATATGAAGCTGCACTCTGGGGGAAGCTCAGCGTCAGATAACCTCAAGAGGAGAATTTCTAGTTCCCTAATGAAGACCTTTCCTCCAGTAACACTAAGAGTGATATTCTGAAGCTGCCCACTACTTCTAAGCAATGTGAAGGATAAACTCTCGCATATAACCACGACTCCAATGTGCATGTGTCAGTTTACCTGCTCGTGGGGAGCTGGGAACATAGGTCGTTCTATGTACATCTTTTCAAAGCGTTTTAGAGACGATTACCCAGCCCGGTTGCAAAGTGATGGCACTGGTTCAATGGAAGCGCTATAAGTGGACACCATATCTGCACCTGTCACAGCACCTCAACCAAGTCATCATTCAGAATTATTTACAACGTAAACGAGAATCCATCAAAGGCAGTGTTTCCGACTTTTTCGTATTTTAGAAGCCCTCATCACGTACCTCGAAAAGCCGGAGGTATTCATTCAAAAGAAACTAGTCCGAACTCTAAATTTACCATGGATCTAGTTCGGTTTGACTCTTACGTTTTCGTCTTTTCATTCTCAAAGTGTTTTTCATCTTTACTTGTAGAAACTATTATTTGAATTTGTTGCTATGCTTATCCTATTCACATCTGTAATTGTTAAAAAACTATTTTACATATTACTCAACTATGTTCTGATCCTGTGAAATTTATTATTACCCTCCTTCACAATTCCATATCAAGTTTAAAATTATTTTCGCATTTAATCTGTTTTTCTTTTGTTATTATGTGGAATTAAGCAATAATAATTGTATCTATATAAATGCATGTGTATAGACGCGATTGTATACCTGATTTTCACGATGAAATCGCTGAAAATATATCTGCTTGCTTAGCTTCTTGTTCTTTTTTCTCTATAGCATTTATTATTTTTTACAGGATTAATCACTTACTGAAGTCAGTTAGAGAAACATTGGAAGACCTGCACGGAATACTGGACATCTGTTTTCTCCCACCCGGGTACTCCTCATCAGTATGTAACCAACGGGGTTCAGAACCGGGAATCTTCCGGTTACAAGGCAAGCTAGCTCGTAGACCATTCAGCCACTAGGACCCTACCTCATGGCCAGCCCATGAATTCCAGCCTTTGTCAATTCATGATATATACTTAATGCAACCGCCAGTCAGTGTAACAGGCAAGTAACCGTCCTCTCTCTCCTGACCTGGCCAGAAGTCGTAACCAGTGGGATCCACCACGTCAGACGAAGGGATCGTTACCTGCTTATGATGCTGACTGGCAGTTGCATTAAATACACATCACGAGTTGACGGAGGTTGGAATTCATGGGTTGATCATTGGGCAGGGTCCCAGTGGTAAACAGTTCACGAGCTAGCTCGCCTTTTAACCGGAAGGTCCTGGGTTTTGAACCCCGGCGGATGCGTACCACCAAAGAGTACCAGGGTGGGACGAAACAGCCATCCAGGAACCCGTACAGGTCTTCTAATGGTTCTCTAGTCTGACGTCAACTCATGATCAATCCTGTGACCAATCAAATCCCTACAAACCAACACACTTGATACTCTTCTTTTACCTGGCTACTAAAAAACAATAACTAAATAGTCAGATGTAGCACTGATAAATAATAAAGATTAAAATCTCTAGAGGAATATCGACACTTTTGAAATTGAAAGAAAAAAAAACCCACATCTTTCTGATAACTGCCTGACAGTTATATAACCTTGACCTAGAATTTTTACAATTTTATGTCAATCCAATTCATCTCTACTTAGAGGTTATATATAAATTATTCTAGAATTTCTGATAAAATTGAAATAGATTTCATGAAACCACTTGAAAAATACCAATCATCCTGTAAAAAAACTAAAATGTAGCAACTTGCTGTGTCGAAATGAATTATGCAAGGTCAACACATGACTGACTGACTGTATAACTTGAAATCTGACTGACTGACTAACTACTACCTAGAATTTCCACATAGAACTTTACATTAAAATGCAACGATTCATGTTATCATATTTCGTAAAAGAAAGCATATAAAGAATAAGGAAAAGAAAGATATTCAAAGGAAATATAATTATTGAGAAAAAGAATAAGGATTTAATAGACCTGACTGACTGGTTTCAACATAGAACTTTGCACAGAAGTGCAACAGTCCGAATTGCCACACTCCCTCGATTTACAACACAAAGCAAGAGAAGAGAGTGAAGAGAGATTCAAAAGAGTGAGAGAGGTAATAAACAGAAATATGAGGTGAAAAGTATAATAACATGGAAGAACAATAGAATTTTATTGTATAGGATAAATCACAAACAGTGAAAGTATCTGTACCATCATCAAGAACGATTTTGAGCCATATCACAAATTGTTGGTTCTTACCATTCCGAGGACTCCAACCACGAAGTCTGCATCTCCCTACATGGCTTAAACTATCTGTTGTGTATTTCATTGACTGGTGAAGCAGTGTTTTGGTTTGACCACCAGTAGCCAACTCTTTTCTAACCTGATTGATCCTATGTCAGCTGACATTGCCCGCCGAGGAAGGCGATGGCTATGCTAGGTATGCGTAACATATGTCCTAACCATCTCAGTCGGTATAACTTCACAACCTCGTCGATTGACTTCCACATCTTTTCTAGAACTCGACCGATGTCTAACCTCAATATTTCTCACCTTATAACATCAATTCACGTATCTCCCACTTTCAATGATCATGTCTCACTGACAGTCATAAAGGAGGACGGAGCAAACTGCTGAGCAGTAGTACACACGTCCTTTGATCGATAGCCAACATGATATTATGTCTACACGAGAGATGGCGTAAGTTGACGTATCCCAAACTATCCTTCTGTATCGGTGCTAAGATTTCGTCAGAGACCAATCCACTGGCACTGGCTGATGCAACTCCCCAAATAAGTGAAGTGGTCAACACGCCCGACCAACTACTTCACTCCGTATCTTTAAGCTTGGAGTGAGTCTATGTAGTCCAGTCCAGTAGCCTCATAATCTTACATATGACGGAAGCGATTTAAGAGATTACAATGAATGAATGCATCTCCACTGTCGACAAAAATCTTGAATCCAGTATGTTACCAACAGTCTCAAACCATTGCTATCTTAGTGACTCGAGTAACCCATCCAAACTGTTTACACCAGGCACAAATGGGGAAAATATAACTGATTGGGCATCCGATAGTGACATGGAGGAGCAGATGAGAGCATATGGGCAATCGTGGAGCCAGCTAAGGACGACTACTAAAGCTCTATGTTCCATTTGAAACCTTAAGGAATAATAATGATAACAATAACTCTTCTGCAAACTAGTCTCATGACAGCTAATATTGCTCAACGAAGAACACAATGGCTTGGCATACATAACATGTGTCTTAACCATCTCATCAGTTGATGCAACTTCACAACACCATCGATTCATTTTTCCTCCTAACTTAACACCTACTACCTCGGATATTAAATATTAATCACCATATTATACCAGCTAACAGGGAAGACTGAACCTAAAACACCTACTGGTCAAGCAAACCGAGCATCACTAAGTCTTTTATCCTCATCTCTTATAGCAATACAGAGAACTGTTGCACCGTACACACGCGTCTGTTCATTACTATTCAAGCCTACAAACTGCACATAGTATAAAATATCTAACGATAGAAGAAGAAGAATAAGACAAAATTCGATTGTCAATCAAAAATAATTTATTATTATTATTTACATTGGCATTTAGCATAAATGTAATAAATGATTGCGATTATCTTTTAAAGGCCGCCAAAATACTGAACAGGTGTACCGACAATCTGTAATTCTTGGTAAATATCCTGACACTAACCAACCTGTTTGACTGTTATCCAGCAATTCTTCTGTACAAGAAATATTCAACTTCTTGCTTAGAATATTCATTGAAGTTAGATTATCCAGATAGGCTGCAGTAGTATTCAATTTTGTATTCAATTCTTTATTCTCATGAATACATTTCATTGCTGGTGAATACTGAAATATTATTGTTTTTTTTTGTAAAATAATATTGAAAAATAAAATAAATCTTTAGATAAAATATTCACTTGAAATATAAACAGAATAAATATAATAGTTTAATTGATTTAAGGGATTTTCTAACTGACATCAATCTGTGATCAAAACTAACTCTTAATTAATTAATTAATCAATTTATTTGATTCGGGTTAGACCACGGATTGATATCAGTTAGAGAACCATTGAAAACCAGCACTGGAGTACTGGACAGCTGTTTCATCCTAGTTTGAGAATCGTCAGCAGTACGAGCCCACTGCCAGGGTTCGAACCCCAGGAACTTCCAGATACAAGCAAAGTTCGTATACCATTTAGCCATTGGGACCCAACTCAGTGGCTAACCCATGAATTCTAGCTTCTACCAATTCGTGAGTCTAGCGTGACCACAAAAGCAGTGTCATCGACGGGAACCTCACCTTACTCCCGACTGGGTGCGTACTGCAGACGAATTCCAAACTAGGCTGAGAAGACAGTTGGCTATCCAGTACTCCTAGATGGTTTTCAATGCTTCTCTAACTGACATCCATCCATGGTCTAACCTGAAACAAAAACAATCCTTACAAACTAATCCTTGAAAATTAATCTGATGCTAGCTGGTGACTGGCCACAGGACGAAGTTGTCTGGAGTTCTAGTGAGACGTTGTGACCAGTCGGATGCACCAGGTTGGAAGTGAGGATGAATATTCGCCGATGACGCGGACTGAACCTTGCGCTATTTATCACAAATCGACAATGAACTAGCCATTGGATTCTAGCCAAAATGGTTGAATAGTCAATAAGCTTGACCTTGTAACGTGAAAGTTCTAGGTTCAACCCCACCCCACCCCCCATGAACGTGTAACTGATGAAGAGTCCCAAAAGTAGGACGAAACAATTGATCAGTACTCACATATGGGGTTTCCAATAGGTTCTCTAAGTGACATAAATCCAAACTTGGAACAAATCAAATATCTACAATAAATAACTCTTGAAAATCACTCAGTTGTTTATTGATCATCACTACAAACAAATATCCAACTTCACTTTGTGTGAAGAAGGAGAAAAAGAAAACGTAACATTTTGAAAAAGCTCATGGTTGAGTTATTAATTTTATTTACGCTTCACATCATGTGTTAGGCAATGATTTATATTGTTAGTGTGAGTAGTATGTAACTAATCATTTCAAATTAACTAGTAGTATATACCGTCAACCGCTTATGCTTGCTTTTTTGATTATTATTCATGATATCAATGGAGATCAGAAACTGTCACCTGAAAAATTTTAGTTTTCAAAGGGGACTGTAATGAACTGAGTAAAGTGTAAATTGAGAATAAACTGATTTATGGTATTACGAGTTCGCCCAAGTAGCTAACCAGAAATGTTCGCGTGATTTGAACTGAATCATCTGTACAAACTGAGGAAAAACAGGGTACATCGCTAATGGATGAGCTCGACCTCATACTAGCAAAAACGACCGTCCGGTGATTAGTGAACCTCGATCTAACTGGCTATTAAGCACTGCTGTTTGACATGAGTAGTATATAACTACTCATTACAATCAATCAGTAGTATAAAACGTCACATATTATTGTTGTTTTTGTAAGAATTCAGTGACCCACAATAGATATTTCATGTGCTAGACCATGGACGAGACAGATTATATGAGGACTGACGATACCACTGTCCAGTTATTCAAGCTGAATTAAGCAGGACCGAGCTCGAACACAGAGCCTTTTAGCCGTCAAGTCGAGTACTTTAACCAGTGAACCATATCTCCCTCCACAGGCAATTGATTTACATCCAGTGGAATTCATTGAATGATCAAAAGACGAGTCTTAAGATTATCGCATTATCATTCAGTACGAAAGACTACCGAAGGGAGGAAGGAGTGAAGGAAGTCACCCTTTTCACTTACCTAGACAGCATTCCTTCAGATACAGGCAGGCGATACGGATGAGAATGTCAAAAGAAGAATCAAAAAGACAAGACAAGTCTTCATCACTCTGAGATAAGTTTGAAAATCCTCTGCACACAGCATAAACAACAAATTTTAAATTTCCAATACATATATCACGTTAGTTCTCCCTATGTAGGAGGTTGGAGACGACACAAGCGTCACTACAAACAATGCGAACAGACTACTGCAGACTTTTATCAACTGCTACCTTCGCTGACTGTATACTGAAGATTAGATGACAAGTCAGATAGGATTACCAGCAAGGGATTCTGGGAACGAATCAACCAAGAAGCAATTACCCCAAAAAATATGCAGAAGGGGAGATGAAGATGGGTTGGAAATAGGCTGAGGAGGCAGTTGAGTGACATCGTGTGCCAGGCAGAACCTTGAGTGGAACTCGAATGCGAAAGGACGAGTTGATTATAGATCTGACAGTGATAATGAGGAGGTCGTATTGTGGTGAGAGTTGTCTACTAGCCCAAATTGGTAGATAACAATTTACGTCAATGTTTACTTCCCAAATCTCGGTGATGAGAAAAAAACAAAAACAAAAACTAACTCAACAACCAATCACAGCAGACTTTGTGTGGGCGGATACGATTTCCGAATATATGGTCTAACCTTCAAAGAAACGGCCACAAAGAGATGACACATTAACTTTCAGAGAGAAGACAACCAATCAGAGGACGCTGTTTCTCTGCTTACAATAACGAATAGTAATGTACATAAAAATCTATAAATACCTGTTGATTTTCTCAATAAACGATCTGTTGCCTGACCCTTGTCTTCTATCGTTACAGTATGAGAGGGAGCAGAACGAGTAAAATGAAAGCTTTTTAGGCAAGTTAAAGAGGACATACAGAGAACAAGGTGAAATGAAGATTCGCTATTGGAAGCACTATGTTTCACTCCGAACTCATGGGAATAATGATACTCAGTATAAGACTAACTAGTTTCAGTGAAATGTAACATTTTCTCAATAACTCAAAGTAACACTTGTGAACATATACCAATAAAAATGTCTTACTTTTATTTGATACAGTTGAAGAAGACAAGCAGTCCAAGTACTGTCTATAATTTGTATTTGTTTAACACTACTAAGAGAAACATTACAACTTGGATATTGATTACGCATACTATCTAATGTATGCTCAGATAATGGAGGAGCATAACAAACACGTGGAGGTTCTTTTAACGACAGTCTAGCTAGACAATTCACCAAATTAGTGAATATTGATCCGTAGACAGGTTGGATTCGCGTATCCGACAGACTGATGCATGACTTCTTCCTACGTTAAAATTAGATCATAAAAATTGTATAATATGTGGACAAGAAATAAATTCATTATACACATTGGTGATAAATGAGGCATTTCCGTAAATTCACTATAAACAAATATATACCTATACAATGAGGAGAGAAGAAGATGGAGGGGTACACACCTTTTTTCATCCAAATGGAACATAATGCTGCATACTTTTGAAGTTCTTGTAACCGAAGTAGAGTTACCCGCTTTACGCCCAACCTTCTCTTTTCCGGACTCACTACAGCATAGTAAACTAGGTGAGGTTCAGGAGTTCGTCGGTTGGGAATTCGACTCCAACTCCACCTACTAAATAATAATGATAAGTAATACACTTGTTTGACAGCGGTTCAGTGGTAGAATGCTCACAAACCAAGTACGTAATCTGGGTTCGACTCCCGGCGGTAAGCTCAGTAAAAAAGAGGTAAGACTGAGCGGAGTCTAGCAACCGCAGAACCGTAGAAAACTCTATCGCAACTGAAACTTCAAACAACAAAAACTTCAAGCCCTGCATTCCACTTGAAACGCAAAGCAATCAAAGAAAAAAATGAAACTTTGGAAGTTCTAACTGCCCAAATAATTATAGATTTATTTCAAAAGATTTTGCCCCGAGATGTCATTTTATAACATTGTTTTTTCTGAAGTTAAAATTTACTGTTGGGATTTTGTAAATTACTTTCTTGTCCTTATTATTATTATTTATCATGCATTAATTGTGTTCCGAGTGAAATGTCTCTATTTCACACGATTCTCCATCATCATTTTCGCTTGGTTCCCGGACTCCCAGAGTGGAAAATCAATCAGACTGTATACACCTATAGATCAATTGTCAGTCATAAGGCATTCATTCATGAAGGCTGTCGATATCTGGTATATATGGATGTGAATAGGATGAGAGCAAAAATGTAATTCAATGTTTGACTAATTGTTGGAAACCAAGATCTATAAGAAAATACTTCGCTACTGATACCAGTACGTCGGTGGTACACTGCCCATCGGCTACGCGGGATGTCCACGTGCGATTCCCGGCCGACGAACTTCTAAACTATGTCTAGACGTAGTAAGCCCAGAGGCGAAGAAGAAAAAGGTTGCTTGGGTGTGAGACTAGCACTTTCACACTGTAAGAACAAGACTATCGCTAATGAGATTCGAAGCCTGTAACCCACAAGTTATACCCAGAACGCATAGAATGAAAAAGACTGAAGCCCGGAGATTTTTGTCGACATATTCTGCTATTATATATATATATATGCATCGGTGGCGCAGTGGCTAGGACGCTCGTTGACCATGCACATGATCAGGGGTTCGATCCCTGGCCACCGACACACTCCTTTACCTTGCTAAGCCAGAAACAGGACTAGTGAAGAGGAAGGTTGGGCATGAAGCTAGCAACCCCATCCTGTAAAAATAAACAGTGCCACAGAAACTTCAAGCCTCTAGCTTGAAGCCCTATGCTCCACTAGGAACGTGAAGGAACTATATATATATATATATATATATATACCAAATAATTATTTAGACTAAAAACTAAAAAGGACAGGAAATTTCTTTAAAGAATTATCACATGTAACAACTTGCCTAAGGCAGTGACAGTCCTAAGCGCACACAGAGATAAAAACAATTATTCAGCGCCATTTTCAAATACTAATAATTTTCTTGCTAAGAACATAGAAGTCTTCGGGTAAAAATAAGAATACTGATATTTTTTGATGAATAATTGTCGACATCAGTGAAATCCAAAACAGAACAAATTCTAACCTTTCTGGAAGTAATCCTTTGAATATATCAACCAATATATGTTAGCGAGAAAAAAGTTGGTTTTGTCAGACAAAAATGTAGAAATCATCACATCAGAATGTTAAGGTGTTCCTTCTACTTGACTACAATGTCACGAAAGTCATCTCTTCTTCAGTGTGCATCATCTATCCTCTGCTATATTATTATGCGGGAGGTCCACATCCGATTCTCAGCAGACGCACTCCTAAACACTGTCTAGCTGGTTGTAAGTAAGTAAAAGATGGGGGCGGGGCGGGGGTTAGTCGTGAAGTCAGGAACTGCATCTCGTAGAATAAACCGACACCACCGCTACTGAAAATTACAAGCTCGAGCTTGAAGCCCTGAGTGTATGTAAAAGCAGTCATAGTTAGTATTATCATTAGATGGATGATGCACCAATTCACAAAAATACTTCATATTTTAAGAAAAACAGAAATAAAACTTGATTTAAGTAGAATGAACTCTATCTACATACTTGACAGATTACTTTGGAAACGGTGATATCATTTTCTCAAAGAAGAATAACATCCTTTTCCGTACAAAACAAGTTTTATTTTGTTATAGTTCTTGTCAACTGCGTACAACCTATAACAATTATTCATAGTAAGATGATATCTTCTGCATACTCGAGGTCAAAAAGTCTTCATTCCAGAAAGCAAATCTATGCAACCAACACCCACACCCTTCAGATTTGAGTCCAGGATCTGATTGATAGCAAAGTTCGAGTGAAATGGAAAGACTGAGCAAGTCATTGTTGCTTTGAAACAGTGGTACAACACTCTGTCTAACAGACAGTTTCAGAGAACAGTTCTGTCCAACGAGTGGAAGGTAACCCTTAATATAAAGAAACACAATGATTGCTGGCCTACAATAAGTGACGTTGTTCTAGTAAATGACAAAGGGTGAACACATGATCAATACATTCAAGACCTGAGCACAACCAAACTCGTACCTAGTGAATCAGTCTCTTATGTGTTTCGTACAGCCTACGAAGCGAAACAGCAGCCAATATTTTAGGCACGACTTGTTACCCTATGATTGTTGCGAGTATTCATTCAGTTTTAAAGAAATTCGAGTAATATTAACTACCACAACACTATTGAGTTTAATATAAGTATATAAAGTAAGTTGTCAGAAATAGACATGCTTTATCTTCAACTGTGTCACCTTTAGGCCTATTAAGAAAGAAGGTGGATTGGCTTAACATCTTACATATGAAAGTATATATAGAGTAAGTAAGACGAAGATAGGACTTTCAGTTAACACAGAGAAGATGGAAGCTATAGAGATAACTAACCAACTAACAACAACAACAAGCACCAATCACTATCAATGGGAGAAATTTGAAGGTCACATCTTGTCTCACTTATCTGAGCAGAATCGTTCCAATTACTGGTGGGACGGATAAGAATGTCAAAGCCAGAATCCGAAAAGCAAGACAGACTTTCGATACTCTAATATCAGTGTGGGAATCTTTTACACAACATAAGCGAAAAAATTGCGGATTTTAACACTAATATCAAGCCAGTCAGTTCTTTTATATGGTTAGTTGATTTGACGTATTACTAAAATGATTTTGAACAATCTACTGAAGACTTTTGCCAACAGCAGCTTTAGCTCCATATAGTGAATATCAGACGAACGGCCAGAAGGGATTACAAACAGTGAACCCAGGCAAGTGGTGAACCAGCCAAGAACCTATTACCCCACATATATGTCGAGAGAAATGCTGAGAAGACTGTTGAGTGACATCGTGCACCAGACAGAAGCTCGAGTGGAACTCGAATGTTGTGTTCTGTTTTCGACACAGAACTTTGCACCAATGTGCGGCAGTTCAAGTCGCCACACTCCCTCCTTGTAGCACACAAAGCAACAGAAGAAGATAGAAGAAATGCATAATAGAGACAGCAATCAGAGGTGTGAGACAAAGGAAGATTAATAACGAAGAACAAAACAGTTTCATTCTAAATCATAAGTCACAAGGTGTGGATACATCTGCGCTGGCCATTGAGAACGATCTTGAGCCATGTCACCAATTGTTTCCAGCCACTGATTTTTACCGTCCCGAGGACCCCAACTTCCTAAATGACTGGCTCTAACTACCTGTTGTGAATTTCATTGACTGGTGCCATGTTTCGGTTTGACCACCGCTAGCTCTTTTCCAGCTTGACCGTCAACATTGCCCGTTGAGGAAGGCGATGACTAGGCATACGTAACACATATCCTAACCATCTCAGTCGATGTAATTTCAAAGCTTCGTTTATTGATTTCCCCTCCCTACCTAGCCTAGCACTCAACGCCTAACCTCAATATTGCTCACCTTATTATACCACTTCACACGGGAAATAGAACGCAGGCACCTATGATCAAAGACAGCTAATCTTTTCATGTGTTCCACTCTCAATGGCCTGGTCTCACAGCTATAAAAGAGGATCGAGCGGACTGATGAGCAGTGCACACACCCTTTGGTCGATAGTCGGATATCACGTCTACACCAGAGATGGCGTAAACTGTATACGTGCTGAGATTTCGTCGGAGATCAACCCGGAACTCAAATGAGAAACGACAAGTTGGGTGTCCGAAAGTGACGTTATGGGAGATCGTGTGAAGAGGGGGGGGCAAGTTTATGGACAGTCGTAGAGTCGGCTAAATACGACTCTAGAGAACATTATGAAATGGAGACGTACTGTGTTGAAGCTCTATGTTCCACTCGGAACCAAAGCAAATAATAATTAATAAATACGTTACTAAGACGAATGTCAATATTTTGTATATGGGAAAGACAGAAGTAAACTTGAATTATTGGTAAAATAGGAAACAAAATCAACCAAAATTGAACTACCGCGCTTATAGCAATATATATTTTAAGTAAACACCAACTAAGTCATGTGTCTTATAACTGAGAAATTTGCTTTTTCATAATATACCTTAATTGTATTTCCTTTATTGCGTTTAACATCAGCAGTAATAATAAGGATACATACATACATACACGCACATACATATACGCGTTTCCCATGTCTCCTACACGAAATCGTATCATTCCAAGTATGTACCGTATCCATGCATATAAGTATATTATTTCTGCATCTTACGACAGAGAGAGAGGGAGCGCGGGGGAGGGGGGGAGAAGCACAGCAAAAACACGAAAGGAAGAAGGCGGAATAAAACAGATGTGTTTATATTATAGATTGCATTCCAATTTACAACACCTGCTCAACAAATATCGACTAGTACTAATATTTACTTATATTTATCTCAATGCATTGATAAGAGAGATTACAGGGCATTGATCACGACTTGTTTCAATATATGAGGAAAAAAAGTTTTATTTAGCAAGAAGAAATATTTAGAATGTAACTTTTCTGACGGGGGGGCGGCGGCGAATTTCAGATTAACTGCAATCGATTCGATTGTCGTCACGAATCAACACCACAGGTAGAGAGATCAACGGAAACCAGCAGAAAGTACTGGACAGCTGTATTTTCCTAGTTTCAGATTGTTCAGTAAGGGTTCGAAACCGAGACCTTCAGGTTACAAAACCAAGCTCATCAATTGACGTAGAGAAAATCACGGGTCATTACTGGACTCTGACTTAACCAGTTTGGTCTCATAACCTGAAGGTCCCGAGTTCAATCTCTGGAGAAGATCTGGTTTTGAACTGATGAAGAGTCCCAAAGTAGGATGAAACAGTTGTGTCAGTGCATCCTGATGGTTTTCAATGACCCATCTAACTTATATTGATTTGTGACGAAATCTTACTTTTTTTGATAAGTAGCATCGTTCATGTCCCCTTTACATCGTTGATGTAGACCTATTCTACAAATATACCGTACCACCCTTAACTGTTCTGCTGATTTATTAAAGCTTTTATCTTACCCTATATTTTTGCGCCATCTTAATATTCGGCTGTGAGTAGACTTTGATAGTTCTGTGTCGTTAGTTTTTTATCAACTAGTGCAATTTATGAACAGCGCTTTTGACGGTATCATACTGCTGACTGACAGAATTTCAACGTAGAAATTCGCACATAAGTGTAAGAGTTCAAGTTGCCACACTACATGTATCATGCAAAGATTCAGGAAAAAAATATTCAGAAGAACCATGTTGTGCAGTAAAGTACGGGATAAAGAATAGTAACGTGGAAAAGCACACGGATTTTATGGATCTAAGAGATTATAGAGAGCGAATGCATTTGCGCCACCGACAACGATTTTCAGCCATATTACCTACAGCATCTCGAGGACCCTAACCATACAGTCTATACTTCTATACATGAGTTCATGAATTGATGGCAGGTTTTGATTTGACCACACTCAACTCTTTTCTAACTCAATCCTGTATCAGCTAACATTGCTCGTTGAAGAAAGCCATAGTCCATTATGTACAACATGTGTCTTACGCATCTCAATCAATTTAGCTTCACAACACCGCCGATTGACTTATCCTCTTTACATAACTCCAGTATTACTCACCGAATCCTAGAAGTAACAATTCTAGATTTATAACTATATAAGTCATTACTATCACATATGCAGCTCCTCCACATCTCCCTGTACTCCACGAATTTATACTTAAATGTACAGATCGGTTTGACGAAAATCCGATCAACTATTTCAACTCCTTTATCATTAGTCATGACACAGTTACGTGAACAGATTATTATATACCAGGCAGGCTATGAACTACACACACAATGTGTGATTTCTGATGATCCTACACAGCTGCCTAGATCAAAGTTGGTGCAAAGTGACTTGAAACAGAGACCCGATGAATGTATAAACCATACAATTGATCCCATAGTTAACTATCGTACATAATCACAACTCTCTTAATGTCATTCGGTTTTTCCATATTAGTTTGTTTATTAGATGTTTCACACATTGAAACAATATCATTTACTGGATAACGTTTCGAACAAAACTTATTGTTCATAATCATTTCATCAATTATAATCACACGACTTTGAAACTTGAGTTTAATTAGTCTTCTTTGTTCTCTCCTATTTGTCGCAGGGATAGTAGGATTTTCCAAATATCTGGGACAGGTGTTGAATCATTCCTATGACACGTATTTGCAGTCGATTCGATAAACAAAGCTTTCGTTATCAATCTGTCCTTCTGTCGTGTTACATTAAATTATAAGACCACCATCTTATCCCATCCTATTGTATGGTTGTGTGTAAGTGCATGTAATGCTATAGCTGAACTGTCCTCTAGCTTTCTTGTCTTATTCGGGTCAACCAATATAGATTTTGCTAGGTTTTTATGCTTAGCTAGTATGACTTCTCCTGTTCTACTACTTTGACGTATGTCTTTGACCTGACAATCATTACAGGCAGGGTATGAGATAAACTAAATTGTTTTGTTTTAAAGGCTCCACAGGATTGGCACTTTAACCGACAAAGCTTGTTTCTAATTGAGTTTGTGGGTTGATTCAATGCCAGCCACTTTTATTCCTGCCTGCTTCGTTAAGAATTCTCCTTTTGGTTTCTGAGGTTGCTTCATATCAATTATAATCACACGACCTCGAAGCTTGAGTTTTTTTTTTTGAAGTTGTGTGATTATAGTTGATATGATTATGAACAATCAATTCTGCTCGAAACATCCTCCAGTAAATAATACTGTTTCATTGTGTGATACATCGAATAAACAAATTAATATGGAATTATTTACTACCACAGAACCAAAGTTTTACACATAGAATCACTCGGTTTTGTCTTTTTCCCAAGAAATGAAACAATAAAAGCATTAATGAGTACTTACCATATCCACATTTCATCATATTCAATAGCCTGGAAGTCAACCTCAATATTTTCATCCTCTGATTCACACGAATTTGAATTCACTTCAATATTCTGTCTATTAACTAAAAGATTTTTAGTTAAAAAAGTGGTCAGTAAACCAGCACAACGACCAATAAGAAAATGCTCTTTTTTACTAAGATATTTATCTCTGTCAAGAGTATTCATAGAAAGTTGATGCAAAAGTTGTCCTAAGTAAATTATCACCGATGGAATAAACAGGCGAGTTGATGTGCTGTTAACAAATTTTTAAAAAAGAGAATAGAAGAAAATTAAATAAAGACTATGTATGCACTTATTTATACTGAACAAAATTTTGACAAAATTAAAAAACAATTGTCAACATATATTACTGTATATTGACAAACATTTGATGGTGGATGGTGACCGACAGTGGAATTCAGGATTTGGGACTCGTCAACTGAATGTACCTGCATTCCCCAGTGAGATTTGATTGTAACGGAATTATAGTTTGGAAAAACACTCCTCAACAACCCAATTACACTATTGGTAGTCATTAAGTCATGTTTCAACTAACTTTGTAATGATTATCCCCTTTTCTCCTAGACTGCATACCACTGTTCTTACATTTGAAAACCATCTGATGAGTCAATCCTTTAATAGTTGTGTGGTGAGACCTATCTGCAAGACAAAATTGTAGACAACTATTGACGTCAGTGTTTACGTCCCGAATCGGGGTCATGAGAAAAAGAAACAAGAACAAAGACTAACTCAACAACCAATCACAGCAGACTTAGCGTGGGTGGATACGATTCGCAGATATATAGTCTGACCTTCAAAGAAACGGCAACAAACGGATGACAGAATAACCTTCAGGAGGAAAACAGCCAATCAGAAGACATAAAAATCTATAAATATCTGTTCATTTCCTCAATGGACGATCCGTTGCTTGGCCCTTGTCCTCTGTCGTTGCAGATGTCTTAATTCCTGTTTAGTCTATCTCTAAATGTAATGCTTCTCCTTGTGGTTGTATGATGATGATGATGATGTTGACAGTATGCTGTTTTACGACTGCAATTACGTTTGAGTGATAGTCAAGGTCATCTTGCCCTTGGACTGTTTGCGAGAACTGTTTGGTGTGTGATTCTTGCCGATCCCGCCTTGTTGAGAATATTCAACTCAATTATCACGTACTTCTTACAGTGGATATCTGCTTAACTAGTTTTCTTTTACAGTACTTATTTTGTACTTCAGGACTTATTTGATTTGTATAGCAGCTGACTAATAGCATTGTTGAGGTAATTTTGACTATCTGCTGATATGCTATTATTGTTAAGTAGTACAACCGAATTTATCGCAAATAACTATCTCTTTGCTGTTGTTGGGGTATTTTGTAACTGTGAGTAACTCAAGGAGGTTTCGGTTAGCTATACAGTGGAACGCAAAGTTCGGTTCCCTCCATTCAGACCACAACACATCAGTTTCGGTCTTTACAAAAATAACTCACTAATAGTCAATTATAACCGAGGTGCATTTCATTTCTTGAAGTCTATTGTTGAATAGAACCTCTATTAATTTGGTCCAAATTCTCATATTACTCAGTAGTCGCATTATGAAACAAACTAAAGCCCTCAGTGAGAATAACAAAACGCAGTAGATTTAAGTGTTTACGAGAAATAGGCGTCAATAGTATTTTCCAGAAATCGTTATTTAAACCAGTCAATCAAAGTATTTTTCTCACGCCTAAATCCCTTTGGTACTTACCTCTTTGTGACTAGCCTAGTCAAAATCTGCATAATGCATTATTTCATTTAGAGTTTTAGAAATATTTTAGAATATTTAACGCCCTACATAGCTTTGTTATTATGAAATCCTTGTCATACGACGAGTAGTCAATCGTAGAGATGGTCTGTTTTACTTGTTAACTTCCTAATTTGCAACTCCGAAGAAATTGAGATACTTATTTAATTTAATTTTAGATTTTCCCAGATTGTAGAATGCAGGTACATCCAGGCGACGAGTCCCAGGTGGGACGAAATGCGTATCCTTGATTCCACTGCTAGTCACCATCCACCAATGAAACTGAGGTACTCCTTTAAAAATTCCAAATTTGTATCACTCAATGACAAAAATTTAAGACGACTATTCTCACATTACGGGTATGGTATGGACAAACCTTTGGCATCGTCATGAATTGAGTTTAGCAGTGAAAGATCGGGTTAACAGTGCTCTTGTTCTATGCTTGTAAAGCCTAGCCCCTTCTAGTCGAAGATGAGACAACTGGGTGTTTGATTATCGATACCTGTGTCGAACTATTTGCATACTGTGAATGTTATCTTGTAATCAATTCTCAACCCAAGTGGAGTGTGTTTTGACACATGCTTAAGATTGGTAGGTTTTCAATAGGTATTATGATCTTGGGACACCAGCTTCAGCGGTTTGAACATGTGTACTACAAATGTCTCATCAACGAGTTCTACTCCATTCACTATTTGATAGCCTTAGGATCCAGTATAAAACGCTGAGATGTGGTCAGCTCATAACGTGGTGCAGTGGGAAGAAGAATACTTCTATTAGATTAACATATGTTGGTGCATCACGAGTCCTTGAGTTGGGGTGTTAGAAACATAATCTGGATAGGTTATCAGAGACGTTATCAATTTAGGTATAAGTCAAACTCATAATTTGCAAATTAGTCAGCAATATTTGCAATCAACACAGCTCGAGAGGATGAAATTTCGCTGTAATTTCCTTTGGAAACCAAGTTGTTCCAATCACAATATGTAATCTTATTGATACTATAAATAGCAATCAAGAAAGGACGTATATTTGCATAAAACTGCATACGACTGATTGATTAAGATGAGTGGTTGCATACCACCATTCATATCAATCAGTAGTGCTTGCACGTCAGTCACATCGAGGTGATCCTAAGCACCATGGGACGTCCATTTCGCTAGTCTGAAGCCGAGTTCATCCGTTAGTGGTGTACCCGGGTTTCAGTCAGCTCAAATAGGCGAATCGTTTCAAACGACCTGATCAGAAAAAAGCTGAAAATCGTAATCAATGCTGAACATACTGTGATGTCCTCCTTCCTTCTCAATTTGAAAGTAACAAGAAACGATGAACGCTTCTTAAATACTTTTGATAAGTACACTTGCCTGTTTTCATGACCCATCATCAAAACAAAACATACAGACCACATATATGCCTTGCTCTCTGCCTATGTAAACAGTAACGTGATTAATGCAAATTATAGAGAGTAACTATTGTTTCCCACTTGTTGGTCAGGATTTATAACTCTCGGATTCCTCTTGAACTACTGCGTAATATCACATTTTCCTTCGTTTCTATATACATCCTGATTACAACAACTCATTCACTAACCTTTTTATTCCATTATGTAACTGTAACACCCTTATTCAACTACTCTTATATATTGATGAATGTTAACAACTGTGATAATGAAAACTCTTCACTTCTGTGAAACAAAATTGTATACAAATATGATTGTGCAACTAAATAGGAAAAAGAATTTGCTGAAACATTTGTTTTTCTCTACAAAAAAAGCCACGATGACGATTATTTATAAATCAATGAAGGACTTGTCTTGCTTTACCTATCTTGCCTTCGACCCTTTCATCTGTGCCATTTCCTGTAGTTGAAACGATACTATCTGTATAAGTGAAACAGCGAACTACCGTTAAATTCCTCTTGCTGATAGTGGGACTGATGCTTGTTAGTGTTGTTTTTGTTTAGGTATCTTCATCACCTCTGTCTTCTCTACAGTTCACTTAAAGTTCTGTCTTCGTGAACTCTTCTGCTAATTTGTTGGTTTACGTGATACGTTGGATATAAATCGTCTGCGATGTTCAAATCGCCTAGTCTTTCTGTTGGTTCGACGTAGGTTTGTCTTCTCTCACCCTTCCCCCACAGTTTCCCACACGATCCAGTCCACCACAATCAAGAATACCATCAGTGATAGGAGGCACAACAAAATCAGTAATCATCAGACTACATAAGATTAAGGTGTAACGATAGAAGATAAAGGGCCAGGCAACAGATCGCTTATTGATTTTTATGTACATTATTGTCAGAGGAGAAGCAATGTCTTCTGATTGGTTGTTTTCTCGCTGAAGGATATTCTATACTGCTTGTGACAGTTTCTCAGAAAGTTAAGCTATATATCTGCGAATCCTATTTGCACACGTTAAGTCTGCTATGATTGGTTAGTGAGTTCCACAAGGTTAAGAAGCTTTGTTATTGTTTTTCTCATGACCCTGATTCGGAACGTAACAAATTGACGTAAATTATTGTAATTTAACTTTGATTTAATTATATATACTACTTAAATAAATGCGATTAATCAATGTCAAAAAAAACAACCTACTCTATACTCCATTTTAAACGACAAGGCGTAAATAAATACAAATCGAATGCACGAAGCCAATGACTAATATCATAAATGATATCTGTTGTTGTTGTTGTTGTATTGGACGTCAATAAAAACTCGGATAACTGATCAAACCAAAGCTTGATTAAACGTTCTTGCATATCATCAGGTGGTGGCCATAAAAATGGCGAGTGCCCACTGACTTCTGAACATTTCAATGAATAGTATTCAATATAGGTGAACAGTTCAAATGCTGATAGATTGATTAAATTAATCCAATGCGAAATTTGATTGTTATTATTATTGGATGAATTGGTTTTTGTTGAGGGAATATTATTTACTATAACAACAATAAATAAAAATAAAACCGTATAAACCGATAACTCAGCGAATTTCATGAATGACAATAAAACCTGATAGGTAGTATTAGTAATTTATTAAATAAGAAACGGTTATTGACTGACAAGAGAAACATAATAGAATCTCAAGGGAATTTAAGCGATTGCAGTGTGCACAACCCTCTCTGTTTAGTTGACTTGAAATTCAATCATCCAGAACAGTCTTTACTTTTTCCAAGCTATGGAGCCATACATTTGTTACATGAGGGTTAATGAGACCACCCGGACTGAGGTAGGTGAGACTGATGGACTGATTGAACTACTTAATCTAATGACAGATTGAGATTCAACGCAAAACTTTGCACAGAAGTTCGAAACACCACAATCTATGTGACAACAGTGAAGAAAAAAGAGATTCGAAAGAACTAGAATGACCAGAAGGAAGTGTGCGGGAGAAAGAACATAAAAAGGCATGAGGATTTAATGGATCTGCCAAACTACAAAGAGTGAATGCATCTGAGCCACTGAGAACGATTTTGAGCCATGTCACCAATTGTTTCCAACCATAGATTTTTACCGTCTCGAGGACCCCCAGTCAGGAAGTCTACACCTTCCTACGTAGCTTAGACCAACTGTTGTGGATTTCATTGACTGGTGCCAAGTTTTTGTTTGACCGCCACTAGCTTTTTTCCAGCCTGACCCTATATCCGCTAACATTGCTCGTCGAGGGAGGCGATGGCTTGGCATACGTAACACATGTCCTAACCATCTCACTCTTTGTAACTTCACGACTTCGTCGATTGATTTCCCCTGTTTACCTAGAACTCTACTCCTAACCTCAATGTTGCTCACCTTATTATGCCACTTTACACGGGAAATAGAACGCAGGCACCTATGATCAAAGACAGCTAGTCTTTTCATGTCTTCCACTCTCAGTGGCCAGGTCTCACAACCATAAAGGAGGACGGAGCGGACTGATGAGCAGTACACCCGCCCTTTGGTCGATAGTCGAACATCTCGTCTACGCCAGAGTCGGCGTAAACTAACAAATGCGAAACGAGCCCCTTGTATTCGTGCTGAGATTTCGTCAGAGATCAACCCGTTGGGTGGCTGATGGTACTTCCCAAATAAGTGAAGCGGTCAACGTGCTCTACCACTTCACTTCCTATTTTTAAACTAGGCGTCGATGTAGTCCAGTCCTGTAACATCATCTTGCATTTGGCGGGAGCGAATCGCATGCCAAACATTCTTAGATTGCGACTCAGTGTGTTTAGAAGACTCTGCATTTCGTCAGCGTCTTCGCCTAGAAGGACTATATCGTCTGCATATTCTAAGTCAACGAGATTATTCCCTGGTAGCAAGTCAATCCCTGAGTCGCTGAAGTCACCTAGGGTTAAGTCCATTAACACATCTATGATGAAGTTGAATAGAAAAGGAGATAATGGGCATCCTTGACGGACACCACTAGTCGTCACCAGTTCAGATGACAGCTCGCCGTAAGCCCTCACCTGGCTGTATAAGTACGAGTAGAGTGCCTTAATCAGTGCAATATATTTTCTCGGAATTCCCTTTACAGCCAAGCATCTCCAGAGAACTTCCCGATCGACAGAGTCGAAAGCTGCCTTTAGGTCAAGAAATACAATGACTGTTGGACGCCGGTAGGAATGCCTATGTTCTAGAATCTGTCGGAGGGTGAAGATATGATCAATACACCCTCTTCCTGGTCTAAAGCCTGCCTGGCTCTCTCGTATTTGTGCCTCCCGAGCACCACTTAGTCTACGCATGATTATTGAGCCTAAGACTTTAGATACTATATTAGTCAAGCTAATCCCTCTGTGATTATCACAGGAAGACTTGTCTCCCTTCTTGTATATGGGGATAATCAGTGACTTACACCAACCCGATGGGACTTCTTCTGATTCCCAGACGCTTCCTAGTACCTCAGTTAATGCAGACAGTAAACTGTCTCCACCGTACTTAAATACCTCTGGAGTCATTCCATCAGGTCCCCAAATAGATGGTCTATACTTGCTTACACCTGCTTTAAGCCAACTCCGTGGACTGATTCCAACTTTTGATTTGACTACCCGTAACTCTTTTCCAAATCAACCCTATGTCACTTAGCATTGCTCGTCGAGGAAGCCAGTGGGTCAATATGCTTAACACGTATCCTAGGCATACAATAGATATAGCTTCACAACATCTTTACGCAACACTCTACGCCTAAACTCAATATTGCTCACTACCACCAATTGAGACGACATATATGACGCAAACATATATGCTTGAAGATAGCTAGTCCCTTTAGGTCTTACACTTTCAACAGTCATGTCTCATAGCCATAAAGAAGAACAGAACGAACAGCCTTTCAGTACACACACCTCCTTTGATTGATATGCGGATATCATGCCTAGGCCACAAATGATACATAAGCTTATTGTATTCATGTTGAGATTTCGTCAGAAATCAATCCTTTAGAGTTGATGCGACTTTCCATACATGTGAAGTGATCAACAAGCACACACAAATACACAACTACTTCATTTCCTCTCCTTAGGCCAGAAGTCAGTACAGACTAGTAGTCCTAAAGCCTCATTCTGCATTTAGTAAGGATGAATCGCATGCTAAACATAACAAGTTTTCTATTCAAAAGAATGTATTTTGTGAGTGTCTTCACCTATAAAGAGCTACATCGTCTGCGAACTGTGCATTCATTGATGAGATTGTCAACCGATAACAAATCATTCCCTCAAGTAGATTAGGGTTATAGGCTTAAGCCAACAGGTGACATCTCTACATCATATTATGGTTGAATGGATTACAAGAAGTTGAACAACCTAAATTACACACAAACATACAGTCCATTATTGGTTGACAGTCAAATCTCTAATCCAATTAACGAAAGTCTCATATTGTGCAAGTTGATTTTGAATTATTAATGCAATTTTCACATCTTGATGACTATGAGAAAATTCATTGTACGGTATTAAAACCTGTATCCATCAATTTTGAAGTTCTACATTGAAACCAGTCAATCATCATCCATCAGTTTACAAAAGCATTTCCAGATAATTTAGTGAACGTGTATAACAACAGAAGTTATTGATAAAATCTAGTGTAGTTATGAGTATCAGGATAAAAAGATGACTTCAAGTCGCTGAAATTAATCAATTCAATCGTTATCACATATACTGAAAGAGAGATAACAAGGTATTAACGTTGACTTTTAGAGAATAAATACGATCTTTTGACAGAGGTTAGCCCTAGTGGATCATTTGATTGCATTCCAGTGGTTGAATGGTCGATCAGCTTGTCTTATAAGCTGAAGTTCCTGTCTTCAATCCCAAACGGTGGCATTATAGGTGCATACTGATGAAGAGTCCCAGACAAGGACGAAACAACTGGTTTTTAATGATTCTTTAAATGAATTCAATTCGTATTCAAACTTGAAATTAAACTTATAAGATGCACTCACTACAGTCGAATATCCTACCGGGAAATCACTGAAAATAAGCATTTGTTTACTAAAAGTATATATATATATATATATATATATATATAGTGAGACAAAGAGTAGTAGTACATCAGTAAACCTAAATGCTGAAATGGAACAAACAGAAGAATTTCAAATGAACTGTCGTCAGGATTTGACAGAATAGTTCTAAAATATTTGGGCGCCGAGTGAGAAGTAGACATTTGTAAAATCTCCGTTGTCTGCAACAGAATGCATATCCTAAATCCGTAGCTGTCGAGTCACCTGACAACTCCAGTAGGTCGAATAAAGCAGCTCAATCTTCAGAAAGAAGACAAAGTCATGAGTTTGACAGGGTGCTTCAACTAAACTCTAATCCTAAACACCATAATTTTGAAAATACGTCTAATCATAAGATTCTAGATACTAACAGTTTGAACAGACATGAAGGTGTGATGTTAGCTGACGCATAGGAAATCCTGATTAATAAATAAAAAAATGGATATGTATCATTAATTAATAATACTTGGTCAAAGTTGCTAACTGTCTATATCTTCTTATGGAGGCGTTAAGAAATGTTTTACAACAAGTTTAACAAAGGTAGACCAATATTTGTAAGTTCGAGGTCAAATTTTGATCACAACGCGTACAATTTTGTTTATTATACTTGTCAATATTTGTTTTATAAATCATGATTGGACAAAGTTTTTATAAACAAGAAATGTTCCTTTTACACATAAACCTCTGTTATGTTAATTTTGATTAATTTCCCTGAAGAAGTTCGGACCGGATTGCCGAACGAAACGTTGGAATTACTCATTTCAATCTCGCTGAGATTTTACAAATATAATTTCTTACAGAGAGAAGAAGCATTAGTGCTAAACAACAATCCCACAAAATTGATTAAGAAGATCACAAAAGTTCACAAGAAAAGGCAAATTAGTATTGAAATGATTGAACAGTAAAATATATATGCAGGAAAAGGTTTAAGGCATCAACAGTTTTACCAATATAGAATGAAGGGACATCTGAAAGCCTATTTAGGATTCTCAATAAAGCAGGAATTGGGATAGTGTTTAAACTCTCAAACAAAAGGCCGAGCGATCCTGGGGACATCACTCGTACCAAATTCCCATGAAACTTCATGAACTCTCTTACAAATTGCCGCGCCTGGGCAGCGATGATTCGAGACGTTCATGAAGCCGGCTCATCCTCCCGTAGGAGATAGCCGAAGTAAAGTAAGTAAGTAAGTAAGTTAAACTTATAAATTTACTCAGGGGCAAGCTCTGTAGGCTAAGGGACCCCTATTGACATACAATAGACGAAATAATGTCACCTACATAGATCAGGCCAGTAGATCGAAAGGATAGTCAGATTATTGGAGCATAAGAATCTAGGCTAAGTGTAAAAGGATTGACTACACGAAGGCGAAAAGTTTGGAGGAAAACTCAGCAATCGCAATGAATGCACACTAACACGTAATCTCACAACAGGATGGGACAAACCTACAATTCTAAGAAATAATAATAAGTAGGTTGCGGGGAGTGGTTGATTACTGAATCTACACCTAACACGTGCAAGTAGGATGGATATGGAAATTATTGCTACTAATAAAACTCAAGGATAAGAAACATCTTCAGTAAATAATACCGTATCACTTTGTGTGATTTTATCAAATAATTGTTTGCCCTATAATGGGATTATATTCTATCACACAGTGCCCGGTGCGTTGGTGTCACAGCGGTCGAATGCTCGCCGATCACGCATGTGGTCCGAGGTTCGATCCCCGGCCAGTGACGCACTCTTTTACCTCGCTAGGCCAGTAATAAGACTGGTAAAGAGGGAAGGTAGAGTATGCGGCTACCAACGCCATTTCACAAAAAACAAACACACCACTGCTACCGAAACCTCAAAGCTCTAGCTTGAAGCCCTATGTTCCACTGGGAATGTATAGGAATAAAAATTTTTTAAACACATTGCCCAAGTTCTGTTCTTATATCACAGAGCGAGAGAGAGAGTGGGAAGAAAGGCAGAGGAAAAGAAAGACTACCAATAATCACCACACATACCATTGTTAATATTCATTGAATCAAGGATACTTTCATCAAGTGGATCACTTGTTTCTTCTTCCATTTCTGTTGTTGTCGTCGTTGTTGTTGCTGTTGTTATTGGAGAAGAATCATCACTAGCAATTGTCATTTGACGTCTTAATTGTTTATTTTTACGTTTACGTTCTTGTTTAAATTGTTTTCTAGATAATAAATTCACTGATTTCTGTTGTCCATTGAAAGCATTTAATAGGCGTAAATAATTCTCTGCTTGTTTATCCATGCCTTTCTTGTGGTGTTGTTGTTGTTGTTGGTGGTGGTGGTGTTGAGGTTGTTGTATCAATGATCTATCATTGTTATTATTATTATCATCAGATAACTGCAATGGATACACAGCATAGAATTTCATTAGAAAACGTTCTAACGATGTGGATAGATCCGGTGATCTAACGTAGATATGTTTTCCAGAGAAAAACAAAACAAAAAACAACAACAAACATGAAAATGTATAAAACAATCAATCAATCAATGGATCAATAAAGTGGATAACAACTGTTAAGGAAAACGACAAAAGAATCCTTATGCACTACAAAAAAGGAAGTAATTGATCTGATGCCCACCAGCGACTGGCCCAATTCAGACAGAGTGACCTGGAGTTCTAGTGGTAAGCCGTGACCAGTAGGGTACAGCAGCTTGAAGGCGAGGCAGTAACTCATCAATGAAGACATTGCGAAGTGGTCGCGCTATGTCATAAATTGGTAAAAGTTAGAATTCATGGACCATTGAATCGGGTCCCAGTGTGGCTTAAAGGTCTACGAGCTTGCCTTGTAATAAAGAGGTCCTGTGTTAGAAACCCAGTGGGTGCGTACTGCTGCAGAAGAGTCCCAAACTAGGAAGAAGCAGCTATCCAGTATTCCCTGCAGGTTTTCCAACGGTTCTCTAACTGATATCAACTCATGATGAAATCCTCCAACCAATCAAACAAAATCCCTACAAAGCTAATACTTGAAAAAAGGAAGTATAAATTTGTTTCAGGTTAAACTACAAATTGATGTCAGTTAGAGAGCCATTGAAAACCAGCAGCGAGTACTGCACAGATGTTTCCTCCGTCTAATTTGGGATTCATTAGCAGTACGCACCCGCCGCCGGGGTTAGAAACCAGGACCTTCAGGTTACAAGGCTAGTTAGTATACCATTTCACTTAATGAAATTATCTGACTATTCCACTACCATGTCACCCACTAGAAGACATAATCAATAAAACAGTTGGCATCCATTTTTAATGGTAGATTTAATACTAAATACCTTTCAATTACACATATTCATATTTTATACAACCGGTTGTATACCATTGATTTTTATTTTATTCCTTTGCGCTTCAAGTGGAACATAGAGGTTGACAAGATATGAGCTGTGAAGTTGTTGTGTACTGCTGCTGAGTGAGTTATTAGAGTTTTCCCCGTTGCCAAATTATTGTTATGTACTGGTCGAGTAATTAATAGTCCTGACGCAAGAAGGCGGAAATCAGAAAACCACCAGGTTCACGATGATACTTGTCTTTTCCAAACAAGGAAAATCAATGTCACACAAGAGTGTGAGGGAAATAGTATGAATGTCCGAACAAGTATGTGAACACAAGTGTATGAGCGAATGTTCAAAAATGAACGAATCAATAGACAGTCTTAACATGATTGGCTAATTATAATGGAATATCGATCCATATATAATAGCAAAATATAACAGACTGTCAAACAAACACACATATTATATGGATACAAATCAGAAGTTTCGCTGGCAGCGGTGTTATTCCTTGCTAGATGCACACCCAACTTTTCATCTTCACACGGCTCAACATCTGAGATCGTCGACACACTAAGAACCTATGACTGCAGACTGTTGGCTGCAGTGCCTGAAAATCTTTGCGAATACCACAGATGGATTCACTCTCTTTAATTTCTCAGGTCCATCAAATTCTCATTATTACTATTATTATTTATTTATTTATTCTTTCTCTCGTACATTTCAGTGACGGATGAGATTTCCAACCGTATCATGAAGGCTAGGGTGGCATACATCAACTTCAGCCACCTCTGGCACCGTCACGACGTTAGTATGGCTGTCAATGGTCGGGTATACAATGCTTCGGTGCGCGCTGTCTTGCCCTACACCTGTGAAACCTGGCCTCTCCTAGCTGCAGATTTGCGGCGACTCTGCGTGTTCGATCAACGCTGTCTCGCAGGATTGCTTGCGTTCGATGGCATCATCGCGTGAGTAATTTATCTTTTTTATTTTTATTTGTTTTTTTGATTACAGCTTGATTCCACACTGTACTTTTGGTACAAGTATGGAATTTTCAGCATATCATATCGGTAGCCCAAATTTTGCGGACCGACCATAGATATCAGGTGTGCGTCGGCAGAAGATCGAACCTCGGACCATGTGCACGGTCGGCGAGAGTCCTAGCCACTGTGCCACCGACGCAAAAGCGGAGTGCGTCGGCCGGGAACCGAACCCGGACCACCCGCGTGGCAGGCGAGCATTCTACCACTGAACCACTGAGGTTCGGCAGCATATGTTTCAACACAGTGGAGATCACAATTCATTGAGTGTCGTCATCTGGAAACACCGGTTCCGGTGGCTTGGACATGTGCCGCGAATGTCATCCCAGGGGCTACCGTACAAGTCTCTGTTCGCTAGCCCTGGGACGGGATGTAAACGGCGGAGGGGTGGTCAGTCCATGACGTAGCGTCGTCGGATGAAGGATCTTTGTGCTAGATTAGCATCGTTTGGTGCGTCACGACTCCTTGGTTGGGGTCCGAGAGATAGCTCAAATCGATGGCTCGAAACGTTATCGGATATGGCCAAGAATCGTAATCAATGGCGAACGTGTTACAATTTCCTTCTTTGTTCCCTTCCCGATAATAGTTAACGTATACTGTTTGAACATGTTAAGCATGACTGTTTTCTTTCCAGATGAAGTTCTTTATCCGTTCTCCACTGATATTTTTTTACTTTTGATCTATATTGTTTTATTATTATTGTGTGGCGCATCCTTCTTGGTGCCATATTGTACCAAGTTTTTTCGGCGTTTAAATAAATAAAACACTTCAGTTTATTCTGGTTTCCTTAAGTTGCTTTTTTCTATCTTTACCTTCACACACTTTTGTTCAAAGTTGAGAATTCAGTTAAGTCTAAAATTATGTTCTACTTCATCTGAATGACAGAGTGGATTTCAACACAGAAATTTGCACACTAGTGCAGTAGTTTAGCTCGTCACACTCCATGTAGCATACAAAGGTGGAGAAAAGAAATTCGCTAAAACCATAATAAGCAGAAATGTGAAAAGGAGAAAGAATAGTAATGTGGAAAAACATGAGGGTTTAGTAGATATAAGGTATCACAAAGAGTGAATGCATCACCGGGCCATATCACTAACAATTTCTAGTTATTGTGTTGTAAGCACCCTGAGGACCCTAGCCAGACAGCCTACACCACCCTGCCTGGATCAGAACCAACTTTCAAAGTCTTCATGGACTGATTTCAGGTTTTGGTTTGGCCGCCGCCCCCCCCCGTAACTCTTTTCCAATTCAACCCTATCCCGGCTAAAATTCCTCCTTCAGACTTGGCGACGGCTTGGCATTCACACATGTGTCCTCGCCATCTGAATCAATGTAGATTCACGACCTCATCGATTAACTTAGCCACCTTACCCAACACTCTGAGCCTAAATCTCAGTACTACTTAAGAGGACAGACAGAGCACAAATATTTGTCGTCAAAGACAAATAATCTTTGCATAACCTTTAAAGTTGAGTTAAATGAAGATAAACTTCTTTTCCATTGTGATTTGTTTGGCATTTAAACATTTACATATTCCATACTTCTTAACGAATTTTTGAAGCTAACAGTTGTTTTAAAACATTTTTTTCGAAAATCAGAAGTTCTTCCTCTAATTTCTTAGTAGAAAATATTTTTCTGACTATGTGAACCACAGCTTTGACCAATGCTGGCTTATAGCTATTTGGACGAAAACTAACTATTGAAATTAAAGTAGTGTATATTCTATGTAGGCTTTCGGTGAATTGATCTCTGGAGTCTACTAGGCGTCTTCTAGGCGTTGTTTTTACGGCAATTCCAAGGAAATGACGCCAATGTGAAACACTAAATAGTCCGCGTAGGTATTGTTGCATACCACAAATATGTTATCGACATATCTAATATGTCTCAGAGTCATAAAGAAGGACAGAGTGAACTGATATCATTTTACATAGTCTGTAAGTAATTACTACAGTGTCAACTGGTAATAAAGAATAGTCCGTCTACCTATTTTTTGTAAAATCTAGAGTGAATTAGGTATCTTCAATCAGATGTCTAGGATATACGGATAATAAAACCTCAGTTGCATCAGTCCCAACGGGTTGATAACTGACCAAATCTGAGTACAGATACGGAACGCTCGTTTAGCATATACCAACTTACGATTAGTGGGCACAATATGCCGTTGGCTGTCTACCAAATGGAGTGTGTACTGCTCAGCAGTTCGCTCTGTCCTCCCTTATCGCTGTGAGCGAAACATGACGATTGAAAGTGGAAGATATGAAATGCCTGGCTAGCTGTCTTTGACCATAAGTGTCTGAGTGTGAAGTGGCATAATAAGGTGAGCAATATTGAAGTTGGGCATTAGTCAAGTGTTAGATAAGGAGGGATAGTCAATCGATTAGGCCATGGACCTACATCAGTTGAGATGGCTAGGACATGTGTTAAGCATGTCCAGCCTAGCCACCACCTTCCTGGACGGGCAATCTTAGCCACTGATACACGATTAGGTTGGAGAAGAGTTGGCTAGTGGTGATGAAACCAAAACATGGCTTCATCAGTCAATGAAATGCACAACAGTCAGTTTAAGTCAGCCAGCCAGTCACGTAGGGAGGTGTAGACTGTTGTCTGGTTGTGGTCCTCTGGTTGGTAAGAACCAATAAAAACTGAGGACAATAGATGATGTGTAGCTCGAAATCGTTATGGATGATGGCAGAGATTCATTCACACCTTGTGATTTTTTATACGCAATACAACTCAATTGTTCTTCCACATTACTATTCTTTTTGCCTCATATTTCTGTTTATTATCTCTGTTTTGAATCTGCTTATACTCTCTTCTCTTGCTTTTTGTGTGCTACATTGAGAGAGTGTGGCAACTGGAACCGCTGTACATCTGTGCAAAGTTCTACGTTGAAACCAGTCAGTCCTTGAAAACCTCAGTAAGGTAGAAACAATGAAAATCCATTATGGTCTCCAGGTAGGACAGATTATAACAATCTTGTCTGTAGGATTTACAAAGCAACTATTTCCTTTTTACTGTTAATTATGAGCAGACCAGATCAGATATCGACTGATTAACTCAGTATTTACTTAGTTCCTACAGAGGAGGGTTGGTAACCTGACACCCTATTCAATATTTCCGGGCTTACCATCAGCTAGTAAACTGGGCAAGATTTAGGAGTTCGTCAGCCGGGACATACAGCTGAAATCTCCTGTATGGCTTAGCTGGTTGGCATTCTACCATTGTGTGTTTTGTAAATGTTTAATTTAAGGTTATATAGCCCACCGGAAAAAAGAAAAAGGTCAGTAACGAGAATAATACAATTACCCGATGGACTCACATATTGTTTATATCTGATCTCCAACCAGAATGATGATTGTTTTTTACACTGGAATATGAAGTGAAAAAATCAATTGATTTTGTTTCAAAGAGAACACGTAAACCACGAAGAAAATAGTATAAACTGCTTAATATTTCTCCACTTGGATGTTCTGTTAATTCTACAATCAAAGGATAAATACAAAAATAAACACTGAATGAAGGTGAAAATGTTCAACTTAAACAGTGACTATTAATCAACCCGTATATGGAGATATGGTTAACTATGACTAAGTGTCAGCAACCGAATTTCAAACCAATTGGTCCTCAGTTCGAGGTCTCAACCCAACTTAATCAGCCTGGGCAATTGAATAATGATATGTATCCATATATATATATATATATATATATATATATATATATATATATATGTGTATGGTGGTCTCTCTTTCTGTTTGCTCGCTTAGTCTGTGACCATTTCACTTGTGTGAACTAGTCTCCTTTAACAATGTATATTCCCCTTATATTATATATAATATGAGTGTTTGTTGACAGTCCGTTGCTTGGTGACAGATATCCATATTATATGTGTGGTTGTTGACATGTCTGCTATATTTCGCTATGTATATATGGATCGACACTCCATTATAATTAGCCATTCATGTTAAGACTGTCTATTGATTTGTTCACACACTTGTCTGGACATTCTTATATATTTCGCTCTCACAATTTGTGTGACTTACTACTTTTGGTGTGATACCACTTATTGCTTCTCCTGGTGTTTTGGAAAATAGAAGTATCATCGCAAACCTAGTGGTCTTCTGATTTCCGCCTTCTTGCGTCAGGACTATTAAATTCTCGACCAGTACATAACAATAATTTGGCAACGAGTACATAACAATTTGGCGACGGGGAAAAACTACTACTAACCACTCAGCAACAGCAACATAACAAATAGTATTATCAGCCCTTAAGAAGCAAACGTGGCCCTTAGTCTGCTACGTAAAAACAAAAATCTGTTTCAGGTAGGCGCATTATGACAGTCAACCAGCATAGAGTGAACAGCCAGTGAGAATAATACACAGAATACCATCGGGGGTCGAACCCAGGATCTTCAGGCTACAAGGCATACCTGTTGGCTGTTCACCTGCTGGGATGGAATCTAATGAACTATGCACTCTAACTTCTACAAATTCATGATATATAACGCTACGTCTAGCCAATATCATCAGAGAGCAGTTGTCCTGTTATCCAACTTTGTGAATCCCACTGGTCATGAGATTTCATCAGAACTCCAGGAACTACATCCCACAGTCAGTCATTAATGAACACAGTAGATTAATTTTTAAGGGTTGGTTAGCATTAAATTCAAATGATTTCAAGTAGGATGACGAAATGACATCAGTTAAAGAACCAGTGAAAACCAAGAGGGTTACTGAGGGAAGATATGAAATAATTGTCAACAAGACTGGGCAACTTAATTTAATAGTAATAATAAACACAATTTGTGATGTATTATACATAAGGCGAAAAAAGAAGACACCAGTAATTTAAGTTTCAAACTTTCCTGAGCCTTACTCACTGTGCATACCTCATAAACCAATATAAAAATTCACCACTGTTGTTGTTCTTCGTGGCTTGTACACTACTAAAGATATATATATATATTCAGAACAAACGCAATCTAATAAAGTGCTTGGTCTACAGAGTAAGAACAATCTGCTCTGATAAATGTCTTAAGTAAGACCTTAATATCGTGAAAAACTTGCTGAATGAGAACGGTTATCCAGAAAAACTCATCGATAAGAATAGTAATCAGAAGTCAAGACTGACCACAGTACAAACAGTTCCGAAAAAGGCCTTATTCTTACAACCTCAGTTCCTTGGGGATAACATCAGTGAGATATTAACACAACGCCTAAGGAATATAGCCGTAAAAAAGAGCATTCAGTGCTGCTGAATTATGCTTTGTCTTCAAAACCACCTACTCCTATTTTGTGTTCGGGAGTAAAAGACATACTACCTAATTTTGCCCCTTCAATGTGTGTCTATCAGTTTGAATGATCCTGTGGAGCCAGTTACATAGGCCACACAATTAGGTGTTTTTCTCGTTGGATTTCCAAACATCATCCTGCGTGGTTAAGTAAAGGACAAACAAAATCCATTCATAGCTCTATTCTATCTCATCTAGTGGATGCAGACCTCAAGATTGATGTTAACAAGGCAGCTTTCAAAGTCACCTACTACACACCAACGAATCTTAACTTCACCTTCTTAAGAGTTTGTCTACTACATGTTGCGGAGGCTGGTTTTTGGGAACCATATTAAGAAACCTAACTTATGTATCCAAAAGAAGTTGGTTCAGCATTGCCCTTACCCTCCTGGCCATCAAGGTTTTAATGATCCTTAATTTTCTGTAGAAGTCTCCTTGGTTTTATTTGATATTCTATTTGCTATTACACTTTTATGCTTAATATAACTTAAGCGTCTTTCTTGAGCTGTAATTCAACTGATCTTACTTAATAAATCGATAGTATTTAAAAACACCAATTATGGAACAAACAATGCAAGAACCAATCGCCCAACAAATATGCAGGAGAAAGTAGAGATGGATCGGACACTCGCTGAGGAGACCGCTGGATGACATCGCGCGTCAAGCCCTCGAGTGGAACCCGAAAGGGAACCGGCGCGTGGACGTCCAAGGGTGACATGGAGGAGATCGTGTGAAGAGGAGTTGAAAGAATATGGACTAACATGGATGCAGGCGAAAAGTACAGCAGAAGACAGAAGCAAATGGAGACGTGCAGTTGAAGCCCTATGTTCCACTAGGAACCCAAGGGAGCAATAATAATAATAATATGGTCAGTGACGACTGTTCTAGAATATATACATATATAGAATTGTAGAGCCAAAAGAGGAGATTATCGAAAAGGATATTCTTCTCTTAATTTTCTTCCGAATGTTTGAATCAATACTTTCGCTATATTGAAGTATTTTATTAATATTACTGACTTTATTTATTGGCATTCACTGATGCTTCTGGACCATAAATTATTACTTCGTTCCTATTAACAACCTGGTACGACCATATAGTGGGTGGACTCCAGTCTCTCTCTCTCTCTCTCTCGAAATGCTCTCATGTGGCCATGCATTCATAGCTTCTATCGGGTAACTCCTATTTATTTCCTTCATGCGGTGGACCAGTTCCTCACAAATGTGGGAGGGTTGGTGCAAACATTTGGTGTTTACAGTCGGACTGGTGGACAAGGTGCTTTACCGACGAGAGCTGAGAAACCCTGATTTCAAGCCTATGGTGTACATAAACTCAAGAATCTGAAAGGATAGAATAGCGCATGAACTTGTTTTGCTCACCGGAAACCATGAGAAAGTAGCTCTTGACGCTGGGTTTGACTTTATGTCGAAGGCCCGGAGGGTGATCCTTCAAGACAACCACTTGCTTCGATCTGGGTATCTTAGGCAGTATCCCAGTCGTCACACACCAAGAGATGCGCCACACAAAATAATACAACAACAGTATATAAGCAGAATAAGTGAGGGTCATGCAGAGAGCAAGTAAGCATACTTGTCAAGATCATTCAGCATACATTACTTCATATTACTTTCAAAAGGCGAAAGAAAAAAGAAATCGCAGCATGGTAATCACTGATTATAATTCTTGGTCATATCTGATAAAGTCTCGAGTCAGTGATTCGAATTATCTCTCGGACCCCCACCAGGGAGTCGTAATGTACCAGTGGATGCTAACTTAACACAGATTGTCTTCATTTTGCAAGTTTCATGCATAAAATATAAAATAAAAATCCAATAAGAAAAAATATACAGATCAACTAACCATCCAATAAGATTAATCCTTCTTCGATCAAACCATGTCCCAAAACCTGATCATCATAGTCTTCTTGCTGCCACATTTGAATGCCACCAATGGAATCGTTTTCAAGCATATCTACTTCCATAGAGTTCTTCCGAGAATTCTCAGATCGCTTGATGGAAACATTCTCACTATTTACAGTCATATTCTTAGGGAACATTAATGATTGTTTAACAATACCAAATAAACCATAATTTAAATTATATGATACTGGATGAAAGTCGATTAATTCTTTGAGGTAATAACCTTTAAAAGTGACATAACACTGAATACTTGTTGATGCCCAAAGTACGGAAGAGAATATAGCCATGGATGATTGCCTTGAGAGTAGCTCAATGAAGAAGTATACTGATTGTCTTTGAGATAAACCACACTAGCCTGAACTAGGTCTGCACGACTTTTCGACAGAACCTTGAAGGTACGCTGTAAAAAACAAAAAAAGAAAACTAAATGACATAAAGATGACAGAAAAACTTTATTGGTCTCCGAGCAGCCATCCGTATTATTTTCACGTGAACACTTAGGCTACTTATGAGTAGCGCGATTATTTCTGCATAAGATTTAGCCAGGTCACTTGGGTAGCAAACGTGTTGATAGGGCATTCAGTTGAGGAAAACAGTAGACATGAGTGATTGAAATGGCCAACATAGTTACATCACATCAGTCTACAAAACAGGGCCATTGTCATTCAAAAAGATGGACCTAAAACCACTTTACTCGTATTAATCGGTGATATTATCTTTAATAGTAGATCAGTGTGACACAACGATAGAAAATTCTTTGAAATCAACGTCTTACATCATCTTTTTCTCCACCTACAGATGGCAAAACTCATCGAAAGAACATCTATTTGGGTAAGGTTCTTACGTAAAGTATTAAATTTGGATACCAATATACAAGATAAATGAAAAGTTATTGATGCTCCTAGTTGGGAATTGCCAATGAGTTAAGACAGAGGGATAGAAGACATAAGAACATTGGACGCAGTTTCTACTAACGGAAAAACACAACATATATAGGCTTCAGATATCAGCTAGAGAAAGTAAATTCTTTTCTATATTCGAAAATTACAGACCGGACTCCCAGTTGTTTACGTGTAAGTTAAAAAGAACTACACACCGCCAATCTAGTTGACTTCATCTTATTGTTTTAATTACTCAGAATGAGTATTATTGATATAACTTTGCAGCTGTTCGTCAGGAAAAGTAGTCTGGGACAATAGTTTTGTTCCTCAGGATTGAACAGTACTCCATATCGAGTGAATAAGAAGGACCTTGTTAGCTGATATAGGATCAGGCTAGAAAAGAACTAGTGGTGGTCAAACTAAAACATGGCTTCATCAGTCAATGAAATCTACAACAGTTAGTTTGTCACATAGGAAGGTGTAAACTTTCTGATTGGGGTCCTCGCGACGATAAAAACCAATGGTTGGAAACCATTGGTGACATGGCTCAAAATCGTTCTCAATGGCGCCGATGCATACACTCCTTGTGGACTTATGATTTCCGATGAAACTATATCGTTTTTTTATGACAGCTTGATTCCACACCGTATTTTTGGTACAAGTATGGAATTATCAGCATGGATATCGGTAGCCCAAATTTTGCAGACCGACCATTGATATCAGGTGTGCGTCGGCTGAGGATCGAACCCCGGATCATGTGCATGGTTGACAAGAGTCCTGACCACTGTGTCACCGACGCATCGTTCTTCGTTACTACTCCTCCTTTGTCTCACACCTTTATTTACTGTCTCTATTATGCATTTCTTCTGTCTTCTTCTCTTGCTTTGTGTGCTACAAGGAGGGAGTGTGGCGACTTGAACAGGCGCACATCAGTGCAAAGTTCTATGTCGTAAACAGACAGACAGACCTTGAACAAACTGTTCAGTCTAAAAGTACGGATACTGAAATAATGACGGTTTAATATAGTGAGTCATACTGAGGCTAGGCGTTAAGTGGTAAGTAAGGAGGGAAAGTCAATCAATGAGGTTGTGAAGCTACATGGATTGAGATGGCTAGGACACTTGTCGTGCATAACAAGCCTCCGCCTTCCTCTATGAGCAATGTTAGCTGACATAGGATCAGGTTGGGAAAGAGTTAGATGTTGTCAAACTAAAAACCTAACATCAGTCCATGGAGTCTTTGATAGTTGGTTTTAGCCAGCCACGTATGGTGGTGTAGACAGTCTATCCTAGGGATTCAAAGAACCAATGGCTGGAGACTGTAGGTTGAAACTTTGTCAGTCACTCACTGACTATAAAAAAAGTGTGTCAGGGGTGCTGTGCTACGACTTTCTGACATTATTCTTTCAATGACAATTAAAACAGATTCTAAAAACACCCTATGACCAAGTTTAAGCAGGTGCTCCTAGGCATCGCAAATCACGCCACTACTCTATCTTTCAGGTGAATAAAAAGAATTTGTATCACATTCTGGGTAAATATAAAGCAAAAATTTAAGTACAGATCTTTTGGTAAGACAGTATTTTTGGATACCATAAGCTATCTCTGTTGCCACTGTCCTGACATTAACGACACTATCAAGTGTTGGTTTGATCACTAACTGACATCGGTTAGAGAACCACTTGAAAACCACAGAGGGCTAGGACTCTTCAAAAGTACGCATTCATGACCCAGCCAGGTATCAAACCCAGGATCATTGAGTTACGAGGCGACCTCGTTGACCATTCAGGCACTAGAATGGGATCAAACGGCCCATCAATCTGTCAATTCGGCAAAATTAGCGTGATCATCAATCAACGTCATCTGTGAGTATCTGCCTTCACGCCCAACTTGGTGGATCTCACTGGTCATAAATTTACACTAGAACTCCAAGTAGAGGACGGATACTCACCAATGATATTGAATGTCGGTCACGCTATATATATCACGGATTGGTAGAAGTTAGAACCAATGCGCCATTTGATTCCGTCCCAATGGCTGAATAATCAACGAGTGCACCTCGTAATCCAAAGGTTTAGGGCTCGGTCCCTGGTGGGATTATGGACCCCTACCGCTGAAAAGTCCCAGACAAGGCCGGGGCGACTGTTCAATGCTCCATGGTTTTCAGTGGTTCTCTAACTAAAGTTAGTCAGTGATCACATTAACAACATTCTTTCATTTAAAGATTCCCTACAACTCTTACTCCGACATAATTTCCAATGATTTCAGGAGACACTCTGAACTATTGAGTAGAACTTTCAGCATTTACATCTCAAACTGGGGTTGGGAACAAATCTGACTGGTGAAAATTTGAAAGTTTTGTTTCCAAAAGGAAGCATGTGAGGGAAAAGTATTTTATAGCGTAGGTATGTCACTCGCAGTCTCGACATTTTATGCCTAATTATGTAAAATTCAGAAACGTTTTTATTAGGTGCCAATATTGGTCAGAAAGGCTCTGAAAATCAAGGAGAAATAAACAGCTTGTTCAACCTACTTCAAGAATTTTGCCAGTGTACAACAGTTTAACTGAACTCAAGTATCACAATAATTATATTACGATATAGTCGATAAGTAAGAGTCCAAAAACAATTTTAACCATAACTAAATGACATTCATGTGGTGTCCAGTCGTGGTTGGAGAGCAAAAGTCTATGGCAGTGAGCCATATCTCCAAATTTTTCCGGTGTCGATGCTGCACTTAGCTCTACTGCACAATCTCCATTCCCCAACTAGACACTCAATAACAATCGCTTATATGCTGTTAAGCCAGAAAGTTATAGTATATTAGCAGGCTGCTGACTCATTGTGGCCTGAATGCAATTAAGAATGAATTCCAACACCAACCGATTGACCTTTCCAAACGAGTGCTTCCGATAGATATTAAGAAATATTGACGTAAAAACTGAGAAGCTAGGTCGTCAGAATATATATATATATGTGTGTGTGCGGGAGGGGTGAAGGCAACAGCTACGCGTGGTAATAGCTGGAAACCACCACAAATTACCACGGCCACTGCAAGTAAGAAGCATAGTGGCAACGAGATAATCAGTGAAGACGTTACGCTGATGAGAAACCAATAGAGACACCACAAACACCTTTGAAAAAGTTTGTTTGGCCTACAGCGTTCCATGGTTGGTTAGTACCTATCTGTCAAACAAAACGAAGGTTTAAAAAAATATCATGCAGCTAAGAGGCTTGAAAAGTTATCATGTATAGCAAATATGTTGTGGTTCCCTACATTCTTATCTTTCTCAAAGTAATACGAAGTGACAGATCTCGTAAATGAACCCGTCGAATTTCTGATAAATACGTCTCCTTCATATCCCTATTATTTCTTCACATATTGAGGACCTACTGTTGTCGTGTGTGCCACTTATAACAATAGATATGAATAGTTTATAGTGTGACTTCCTTCGAGAAAGAAGTTATATGAACCTGGAAAGCTATTGTAAAAGAAACGTAGGATAGAAGAATGCCAATCTAACGAGAATTAGACAAGCAACAGAAAATGGTTGACATTATTTACAAAGCGTTTATTGGATGCAAGATTTGCGAATTTACCATAGCTCATTGATCTACTGGTCAACAACGTTAGATAATATAAAATCCAGAAAAATAATATATGGTAAGAAAAGCGCAAGTGATCACCTTCAAAAATCTTTACCAGTATATAAATTAACAAAATGAAATATAATTCAAATGAACTGTAGTCAAGATTTGACAGAATAGTTCTATAATATTTGGGCGCCGAGTGAGAAGTAGACATTTGTAAAAAATTATATTTGTAAAATCTCAGCGATATTGAAATGAGTAATTCCAACGTTTCGTTCGGCAATCTGGTCCGAACTTCTTCTAGATACTAACAGTTTGAACAGACATGAAGGTGTGATGTTAGATGACGCATAGGAAATCCTGATTAATAAATAAGAATGGATATGTATCACTAACTAATAATACTTGGTCAAAGTTTCCCGACTGTCTATATCTACTTATGGAGACGTTAAGACGTTGTTTTACACCTGTTTTTCCGCACGCACACACACACACACACATACACACTGTGTTTAAAGTGTTTAACAAAGGTAGATCAATATTTGTAAGTCTGAGGTCAAATTTTGATCACAACTCGTACAATTTTGTTTATTATACTTGTTAATATTTGTTTTATAAATCATGATTGGACAAAGTTTTTAAAAACAAAAGATGTTCCTTTTATATATAAACCTGTTATGTTAATTTCGATTAATTTCCCTGAAGAAGTTCGGACCAGATTGCCGAACGAAACGTTGGAATTACTCATTTCAATATCGCTGAGATTTTACAAATATAATTTTTTACAAATGAAATATAATTATTTTCCTTTACAGAAAAAGACCTACATTTTGCTTTAGATTATTGTAGCATTGGATTAGAAGATTACAATAAGCTCGAAAACGGATAAATTGTTGAACTGAATCAAAAACACCTGCATAGACAGTCTTTGTTCGATTAGATCCATTATACAACTGGCTCATTGTTGTCACTAATCGACAATGCAAGCCAAATACATAACTGGCCAGTTGACAACCGAAAAATTTCCAAACATGTTCAGTTCTTTGTAAGAGATAAATAATAACTTGGTCTAATTCATATATTATATCCGATATTTTTGGATGTGTAGATGCAATCTAAAAGTTGAAAAGTTCCACAATCAGGAATGAGAATAGTTTACTAGGCGGAGATTCAAAAAATATAACCATATAATACATATATAATCCAAAGAAGATTTTGAACCCTATGCTTTCGTTGAGGCTCAATTACCCGGACCATATTTATCATGCACGAGGCCACACTTGTCGTATAAAGACTAGCGATACAAGCCATTTTCCCTTAGTGAAGCAGGTGGAATGGGACTCGAGCTCATGACCCATACGCTTAAAACTGAGTGCTTAAACCACTGCGTAACATCTCTACAAACCTTGTGTTTACTAAGACCCAGTGACGATGAACATGATTTATTAACCTTCCAGTCGACGAATTTAACCTACTTCATCTAATAGAACGTCATTATCTGCATTGAAAATAGGAAATTTCCTGCTGATGAGAAAATATTTTTGGATCAGTATTCATATCCTAAACTACAGATAGTTTTTTTAACTTGTGATACGCTTTTATAAAACTCATAAATGTTTACGTCTTTATCATGTAGTTCGATTAACGCATACTATCATCAATAAAAGCTATGAGTTGATAACTTCTTTAACCCCTCCTCTAACGATTTCCAGGGTTAGAAAGTAGTGAACGTTATGGAAGCTTTTAGAACAGCATTCATAAAGCATGTTTAATGATGAAATCATTTATTTCAAGACATTTTTAACGAGCCTCAGAACTACTCATATAGTATCATCGAATGCAAACAATGACGATTAAACACACAGTAACCGGATATCTTCACAACCATTCCTACCCAACGAGTTATCATTTGTAAATGCATCCTCTCATTTATCCAATCTGGTGCGGGACTCTTTCTGTTTATCACTCAGAGCGGAAACACCAGGTTATACAGACGTAGGATAGAAGGTACACAAACCAAAGCATTGAGAGTCCAAACTCTGACAACCATAAAAACATCACGATGATGCTAGAAGACTGGTTAAAAGTAAGCTTTCAAGACTTTCACTATATTATTGGAAATATCGCTCATTACATTTCTACCGATACTTAAACAACTACCCATGTGGTGAGAGCAGGCCGTGAGAAAATATGAGCAAGGCTGATTCAACAACCAATCACAGCAAAGTTAACGTGGCAAAATATGATTCGCAGATAGAGAACTCTATTTGTCGAGGAATCCCTAAACAACCAATCCGAAGCCTGCGTTTGTCTGCCTAACTTCTGAGAAACAACCAATCAGATGACTGCGTTTGTCTACTTGCATAAGCTATAATAATGTATGTGAAATATGTATAAATACGTGTTAATTTTCATAATAAAAGGATCTGTTGCCTGGCCCTTGTCTTCTGTTGTTACACCCATAGTAAATCTCAACACAACCACAGTTGTGAGTGAGTAAGAAATAGGGAGAAATAGAAGAAATTTGGAAAGCATCTCTTTTACTGAAACTTTCAGTCGACACACTTAAACTTCCTTGGGGATTCAATATACTAGTTGCATATGAAGAAACGTAGAACATATTCTGAGGTAATTCATCTTTTACACTCACCTGAACAATTTTAATAAATAACTGACGAATCTCACCACAAAAACGAGGATTGTCAACTCGTTTACAAAATCGACCAAGCGTAAATATCAAATTTCCCAGTTGAATATTACAGCCTAAATCTGAACTGATGCCCAATAGTTTCTGATGTCCATCAATCACTTTTTCAATAAAATTACTAGATACAGTAAGAACATTCCTATCCAAAAATGGGAGTGCGTTTAACTGCTTTGTCAAAGGATCCAATAGGCGATTGAGAGTACGCAAAGATGAGTGCTGAAGAGCACTATCTTCAATGTTTAGTGAATGAATGCAATTGTCAAATGTCTGGTTATCTGTTTTGTCGCCTTCTGACTAAAATACTCCCTTAGATATGATTATTGTTAAATATGCGTACCTTTTTAAATTCTCGTTCTTTAGGTAGGATTATTCTTTTTTTACTCAAATTAATCACTGTCTCATTTTGACTCTTTAACTTTCTGCCAACTTTAACTTTGACTTTTTGAAAATCCTTTTTCTTTTTCGACATATCCTTAAATGCAAAGAGTTATAAAACACTATTAAATAAATTACTGAAGACAGTTCTATGAAATACAGTATAAAAGTGTGAAACTTATCAAGGAATTGAAATACTCAACTCTTAGTTATGGTCTTAGGTTTGACAGTAATTTTATTTTTGAACGGAACTAAATAGTAATATTGTGAATACGTTGAGTTGACAAGAAGATTCTAGAAGACTTGGACTTTATGGACAATTTATGTCTAATGTCATGTTTAATCAAAAATCTACTGGTGAAAACCAACAAGCTGGTAGAATACACAGCGGAAACACGAGTTTAGGTGAACATAGAGAAGATAGAGGTGATGGAAATACCTAACTAACAACAATAAACATCAATCACCATCAACGTGAGGAATTTAAATGAAGTTATCTCCACTTATTTATGTAGCATTGTCTCAACTATAGGGTGAATGGATGAAGATGTCAAAGGCAGAACTGAAAAGACACTACAGACCTTTATTAATATGAAGCAGGTGTGGAAATATACTGTACTAAGTATAAAGAACCAGATTCAGATTTTCAACAGGTAATACCAGTCAACTCAGTTCAATAGCAGTCAATTCTGTATGGTTCAGGAAATTCGCATGTCACCAGAAGCATATTGAACACCCTGCTGCAGGCTTTTATCAACACCTGCCTTCGATTTATGCTTTATCAGGTGGCCAGAAATAATAAGAGGCTCCGTTAACGAACTGGCCAATAACCTATCGCCGAAGAAAATGGAGATGGCTTGAAAAAACGCGCTGAGGAAAACGTTGAGTGACATCAAGTGCCAGGTGAACATTTGACCGGAATCCCGAGTTTGGTGTGGATCCAAGTGTGAAATGGAGATGGTGTCAAGAGGTAGGAGATTATGAATCATCGTGGAGCCAAGTGGAGACTGCAGAAAACTGGATGAAACGGAGATACTTTCCACTCGGAAGTGAATAATAGCATCCTGAATCCACATGAAATACAAATTTTTGCACAGAACAGCCAATAAATAATACAATTCGACAACCGTAAGCATATTAATGAGAACAAGATGTTAAATAGAAGGTAACCTTACTAGTTCTATGTTGAATCCAGACAGACAGACAGAACCTTACTATTCTGAATCGAAGACCACGAAAAATGTTAGGTAGTTATCCGCTATACATGCAATCAACATGGAATATCTACTTTAGTTGCATGTTATACGAAAAATAACATTTTAGTAACTAACAATTTAGTTTTAATATCAACAGCATCTAGTAGTTATTTGTCTGTCATCAAAATATAAGACAAATGCATCCTAGGCACGCATTATTGTGGATACGAGACTCACCTAGTGTTTATAATGCGTTACGCTTAACGATTCCCAAAATAAAGAAAGCTGAACAAGCTAACATAGATGAGCCAAGAGAGGAAATATTTCGTCAAGTTGAGATATCATGAAGAAAGTCAAATTATCATAGCCAAAGTCAGGGTCTCCCAAAAGTTGACCTACAAGAGCCGATAAGACGCAGGGAATGATATGAAATCATTCTAAATCACATCATGCCTGCCACTTTTGACTTGAAGAAGGTAGATACATTACTCTATTCATTTCTCAGATACTTTGTTGTCAATCTATACTGTTAGGTAGGGTTACGGCTCTTCAGATTAAGGTTTGGGGTCTGGGGTTAAGGTTAGGATTAGGACTAAATTCAGGATCAGAAGCTTAGATTATGGCTAGAATTAAGAGTAGGTTGAGGAATAGTGTCATAAATATCAATGGATCTCAAAGTACTATGACCTACAGTCACCTGGGTGAGTAGGTATATTGCACATGGTACGACTTCTCCATAGACCATCTGCATATTGACTGTGAGACATGCTTACAACACATAAGCTACCACTATACAGTGTAATGTTAAGTTTGCAATATTTTTTGTGCATTTTCCAACGATTAAGCGACTTCATGAATTCTGATTAGTTGTTCAAGGTTACTGTGGTTCTAGCTATGGTAGTTTAACTTTGCCCATTATTTTTGTGTTGTCACTTCCAAATTACAGCATCACAGTAGAGGTTATAGCCTCAGAAAGCTACATATTTTTATTTGTCACGCATAGTCACTCAGAAAACGCCTAGACTCTTACCAAAACACGTATATACATACCACCATTTGCATAGAATGTACATAAAATACATTCTGAGCATTAAAAAAGGAGTGATGCCAAGTTTCTTTTTGCTAAATGAAATATACATTATTCGTGAAGCATTTCTCCACATGATACGTGATACAAGTGATACAATTCTAAGTACTCCACTCACTCAACACAACGGTAGCACCTAGTTTAAAATAACCGCAAACTAATTTCGATATCCAATAGCTTTCCAATGACTATATTTGGATCTGATGATTTTGAAGCACTTAAATCTTGTTGTTTCGCAGTGGGTCTTGGTCTTTTACATGGATTTCGGTGTAACCTATCACCCCACTACCCTGGCTCTTTTGAATGCTACAAGAAGATTGTTAGTTTATTTTAAATGAAGTGTGTGATTTGGACAGGGATACTAGGGCCAGGGAACTTTCAGATTTCGTTTCCGCTGGTAAGGATGACGAACATTGTGGTTGAGGAGTCGAAATTAGTATTACATTGCGATAGGATTGTTTGTGAGATAAGCAAGGCTGTGAGACTTCATACATGAAAAACGTGAAAGAAAGGAAAGGGACTAGAAAGCACAGAAGAAATGGTCAAAATTAAGATAAGGCATACATATACGTTAGTTAAAATATTTTGGATATCTATGGTACCACTAAACCCCTTAGAGCTAGACTATTTCTACTGATGCACTGACCTTGGCGGCCTGCTTAAATCTTGGGCTACCAATTACCTTAAACATTACAAATCGTATTGCATCTAATTTCTCATTTCTAATTGATATTTTAATCAATAAATCTTATTCAAATATGACCTCAAATCGGATTATTTATTCTCGTGAATATCTAATATCTTTAAAACCTACTGATCTGCAACTCCATAAAAAAGACAAGAAAAAGCATCATGCCGGCTGGCAGAGAGCATTAAAAAATACCCCTATTCAATTCATGACTGTTCCCGCAATTATGAGTACCAATTGTCGCTCCCTGCCGGCTAAAATTAACTGTCTTCAATCGCTGGTGTCTTCCATTATATATCATAATACTGGGATCATATCACTTCAAGAAACATGGCTTCATGATCTATATGATGACAATCTAGTGTATCTAAATAATTTCAAACTATTCAGACAAGATCGGTGTAGTTCCAGGAAGAAACGCGGTGGCGGAGTCGCCATCTTCATCAATTCACAATGGTGTACGTCTAACAGTGTATGTTTCAAATTCTCTAGTGACAATATTGACTGTCTCACCGTTAAGTGTCGACCTAGACATTTGTCTAAATACAATTACATTTACATCTCGAACATGTATATTGCTCCTGGATGCAACTCCACAGAATTATCTTTATTTGCGGATGAATTTACTTCCCTTGCTGCCACCTCCTTCGGAAATTCCTTATCTATAGTTACTGGTGATTTTAATTCTAGTGACCACAGCTTCCTAATTTCACTTGGACATGATAACATTGTCAACTTCCCGACTAGAATGGACAACTCTCTTGATCTTGTGTTTACAAATGACGCAGGAATATTTGAAGCTCGAAAAAGAGCCCCACTACTTAATTCAGATCACTGTATCATAAGAATATTGCCCAAAGTATATGGAAAGCAGCACAAAAGGGTCTTCTCATACCTTGGAAAGAAAACACAACACAGATGTTATTCCCATGACAACATACTGAATCTAAGGTCCATGTTAAAAGACACAAACTGGGATCTATTTACTGAACAAGCCCTTGATAACACAATTGCCAACATAACACATTATCTTAATTTCTGTCTTGATGTTTGTTGTCCAAAAGAGACAATCTTCCTAAAATTCGATCGCTTCTCCTCTTCTCAACTCAAAAAGCTCCGCCGTGAAAAAGAAAGGTTGTTCAAAATGAAAAACAAATCTGGAGTTAAGAGAATGAACACTTTGATCAAGCTTGAATTACAAAGATTGAATGCTCTCTATAACCAGAAGTTTCTTTCATGTAAATCCCCATCAAATATGTGGAAGTTATTAAAGGAAATCACAGGTGGTAAGCAAATGTTGAATGATATTTCTGTAGATGTTAATATGCTAAATGAATCCTTCATATGTATCCCAGCAAATGTTATGATTCCTAACTCAAATAGTGTAAACAATGACTGCTTCTCATGCTTTAATACGAATGATGTCCTCAAGTGTCTTCAATCTCTCAAGCCTACTCAGTCCCTCGGTCCTGATGGTGTTCCTGCTGTCATCCTTAAGAAGTGTGCCGACATCTTGTGTTCCCCGCTAACTGACATTTTCAACGAATCGTTTTCCAAAAGTATTATACCTGAATCATGGAAAAACATCAAGATCGTTCCAGTGCCTAAATCTACAAGTGGACCTAATGTTAAGTTTAGACCTATTTCAATTACCTCACCTTTCTTGAAAGTTATGGAAAGACTTATTCTACTTAATCTTGATCCCTCTTTAAAACCTTTCAACGACCCCAACCAGTTTGCTTATAAACATAGTAGGAGTACGTTAGATGCCGCTGTCGTCCTCCACCATAGCATAGTCTCTAGTTTAGATAAAGGGGCTAAATACGTTCGCTGTGCCTTCCTTGATTACACATCTGCATTTGACTCTGTTCCCAGGTCTCTCTTGCTAAGTAAGCTTGCTGCAACACAGGCTGAAAGCTGGACAAATAAGTGGTTGCATTCCTATTTTTCTGAAAGGAAGCAGTACACCGTCTACAATGGAAAATCCTCCACTACCTCACTTACTTTAGCAGGCGTTCCTCAAGGCGCTGTTCTCTCTCCCTTTCTGTTTTCGTTTTTCTTACATGACTTGCCTCATTCTGATGTAGCCACTTTTGTTAAGTATGCCGATGACCTCTCGGTCT